AAGAATAAAAGGATTAAATAGGAATATTAAATTATTAAATGATTGAAATATAAAAAAAAACCTGTCACAAAGCTATTTAACCACAAAAACATTCATCAGACAGCAGTCATTACAAAACTCACATCCACCCTATTTGTAGTCTACAAGTAGTAAATCTGGTAGTAGTAAATCACATTCACCTTTAACTCCATAATCTTAATCTGACTCTGGGGGGTGGAGAGTGGGGCATAGCAGAGATGGGGTAGGAGGTAAGACGATAGGGAAAGGCAGAGCTTACCCAACCCAATACTAAATGCATTTACTCCCCATTTACCCAACCCAATACTAAATGCATTTACTCCCCTATGATTCAACATTCCATTAGTAAGCCACATCCCCATGTGCCTCTCAGAGAATCAATATGACAACTTTTGTGTTCCAGATATGTATGTTGTTCATATAACACGTCCCTAACCCTAAGAAAACCACTTCATCAGGTGCTCAACCAAAGAAAAGAGTAATCAACTGTAGCACTAGAGGAAAAACACTTTTCCCTAACACCTAAGGCCTTTTTTGTTGTTCATCTTAATCATATTTGGAGGCAGCTGAACAGGAATTTAGTCCAAACAATTATCTAAAGGCAGGAAATTTCCTAATGTTTCATGAAGCTAAAACATGGCAAATAAAAATAAAACCTTTGAGGATGGATGTCAGAAAAAAAGTGTAGACACATAGTGCAAGACATTTGTTCCTCAAGGGACATAGGTATGAAAATGATAATAGACAAGAGTAATGATGAGGATTTTAAGAGAATCTCTTCTCATTTTCCCCCATACACATTACAATCTTTTCCCTAATCAATAGTTTGAAACAGTATTATAAAATTCTGGCAGCCTAATTATTAAAATATCTTTAATTATCAGATTAACATTTGCTAAAAACCAGATTTAACATACTTTCAGAGAAATGTCTATACATTTAAAGTACTAACTTATGCTTGCTTTTTGGAATTGATAAAGTATTTCCATGTGCTTATTTATCTAATATCTACTAAGCACCTACTATATGCCAGGCACAATGCTAAATGCTGAAGGCACAAAATGAAACAGGAATAAAATCCTTGTTCCCTTCAAGGAGTTCACATTCTATGACATAATTAGGAAGACATACTATAGTTTATAACCATAAAATTATAAATGTTATCATAAAAGATAACACAGGATACCACAGAAGCAAAAAAGGGAGGTCAGGAAAGAACTAATTACAATAGTTCTGAGAGCGAAAGATGAGGTTGAAGTTAAAGCTGTGTTTCCTACACTTGGTTGTGCATCTGAATCACATACAGAACTAAGGTCTTGGCATCACTTCAGATTTAGTAAATTAGACCCTCTTTAGGTAGAGCAAAGAAACTGATGTTTTTAATGTTTGCCACTGGTAATTCACAATCACAGCCACGTTTAGGTAGCAGTGAGCTAGAAGTACAGACAGCTATTCCAGGCAGAGATAATAGCTCACAATGGTTGAAATATATGAAATATATGCAGAAGATGAGAAAGAAATCAGAAAGAAAATAGTAACATAATATGATATGTCAGTCAAGATCTACAGAATTAGTGTGAACTTCCAAAACAAAAGCAATCACCTTTTCATGTATTTTAGTAAATGATGTGTGACATAAACTAATCACTTATTGAGTATCTGGGAAAATTAAACACAAATACCTTGCACTTCAAAACAAAGATAAAATGCTTCCCTGAAAAAGCAAACAAATTTAACAAAAAAAACAGAACTCTACTTAAAATTTTAATTAAATGTCATAGCCAATGATTTTTCTCAGGATTCATTTCTGGACTATGACAGAAGTTATGATAAAATTCTAATGTATTTTAAAAGTCAAACTTTTAAACTGGTTTTACTTGTTCTGACTAAACATTTATTTAAAATTGCATTTTTATACCTAATTCCAGATAGGAATAAAGAAATACATGTCATCAATTAAGAGTTTGTATTCATCATAATAGGCTAAAAGGCAGACAGAATCTTTTCTATTGATTTCTATTTGTTAAATAATAAATGGTTTAAGTCATCAAATATTTGAAAGTCCAACTACAAGGTCATTTAAAACCAAAGGAATAACCACATAAAATTACTTAAAGGGAATCAACTGGCAAATTACAATAATTGGCTAATTGCCAAAATGATACCTGAACGTTTGATCTAGTAAATCATCCTTTCTCAGATTCAATTTAAGGTGTTTTCTTAATGGTATTAATTAATAATTAATAATTCTTAATATTATTGAATCACCTTACTTTCCAGATGAAATACAGGTATTATAGTTTTGTCTTTTTCTCAAGCTAAAATGATCTATTTTACAAAGAAAGTAATATAACTCTGTTTTCCTACGCATCCACTGCTTCTGCTTCTAAAGTACTGCTCCTGCAATACTTTAAACATCTCTATTTGTTTTTATTTCAAGTACCTGAATCCTGCAAAGAAGGCACTAGTATTACCATGTAATAGATGAGAAAACAGCCGTAGTGAGGAAAATGAACTTAATCAAAATCACCGCTAAGTCAAATTTCAAACTCAGATCCATCTGACTGCGAAGCTCTTTCCACACTGCCTTACAAATGGAGAGGAACATAGAACTAAATAAATCAAACCTAAATAATGGAATTGACTGCAGTTCCCTGCTATAACTGCTTTTGCAGCAGCAAAAACAAATCTATTACAGCGAACAAACCAAGCCATGTATCTGGGTTAGAGGTTGGGGGTGTTCTGCCTCATCCCTGAACTCCCTCCTTATAATTAGGAAATATCCACTTCATGAGTCCTTGCAGAAGGCAGAGCCTGTCTCCCGTATATAGAAGCTAACAATGCTATTGTCTTTATTCCTGCCACACTCACAGCATGGATATGGGCCCTTAATCTATGCTTTGACAACATGGCAATTCACCAACCATTCTAAAATAAGAGCTACAGACATAGAAGCTAGGATAGGAAAGTGTAGATCTTGACAGTAAGTAGCAGTAGTAACATTAAATTTCCAATGGCAACAGCAGCAGCTATGCAGTGGCTGAGTCAGTCTAGCCTTCAGTAATTTGTGGCTTCATTACTGCCACTGGACTGTTATTTTTTTTTTTTAACAAGTTTTGGTTTTTTTTTTTTTTGAGATTTATTTACTTTTATACAAGAACTGGGGTACAGGCCAGATGCACGGGAGGGTGAAAGGATTCACCGGAGACAGAGCAGCAGACTGAAGAAATACACTGCTGAGTGGAGCAGCAGGCATGACAGGAGAGGTCTGCTTCGCCATGTGGGATTCTTGCCAGCCAGCCGGGATCGAACCCACACGACAGAGGCTACGGACAGCTTCGCAGTGCCACGCTCAACTGCCTGCGCCACCAGGGAGGTCCCTGGACTGGTTTTATGGAGCGATTTTTTTTTCCCCAAAGATTTATTTATTTATGCAAAATCCGGGGTACAGACCATATGCGTGGGAGGGTGAGAGGATTCACCAGAGACAGGGTGGGGAACAGAACAGGCAGACTGATGAAATACACTGCTGAGGGGAGCAGCGAGCAAGACAGGAGAGGTCAGCCACGCCATGTGAGATTCTCGCAGGCCAGCTGGGATCGAACCCGCACTGCAGAGACTGAGGACAGCTTCACAGTGCGGCGCTCAACTGCTTGCGCCACCAGGGAGGCCCTGGAGCGATTTTTAGATATCTTTTCTGCTACTTAGTCTTCTTGTTCCCAACTATTTATAAAGTTATAGGTTTCTAGCCACTTAGTGAGCTAATCAGTATACTTTCAATAAATTCTTTTTCTATTTATATCAAGTCAGAATTGCCTTCTGTTACCCACAATTAAAAACCTGGCTGAGGCATTTAATATTTATATGACACGAAATAATTATATTAATCAAATCCTTATACCTTAATATTAATTGTTTTATATAATTTGCCATTATACACTCTTAATAGCTACTTTATAAATGATGTTACGCTTTAACAACAAAAATTTCAGACTTTTCAAAAGCAACACAAAAATAAAAATATAATAACATTTCAGCCCATTTTTTGACTGGATTATTTACTTTGTTTTTGTTAAGACTCTTCAGCTCTTTGTAGATTTTTGTGATGCGAATGGCCAACAGGCATATGAAAAAATGTTCAACATCACTTGTAATCAGGGAAATGCAAATTAAAGCTACAATGAGATACTATCTCACACCAGTGAGAATGGCACATATTAAAAAAACTAGCAACAACAAATGTTGGCGAGGTTGTGGAGAAAAAGGAACTCTCCTGCACTGTTGGTGGGAGTGCAAACTGGTCCAACCACTATGGAGAGCTGTGTGGAGATTCTTCAACCTGCTAAAGATGGAGCTTCCATATGATCCAGCAATTCCACTCCTAGGTATTTACCCAAAGGACACAGAATCATTAATTCAAAAGGGCACCTGCACCCCTATGTTTATAGCAGCACAATTTACAATAGCTAAGCTATGTAAACAACCCAAAAGCCCGAAAATAGATGACTGGATCAAGAAGATGTGGTACATATACACAATGGAATATTACTCAGTGATCAAAAAAGATAAACACATGCAAGTTGCAGCAACATGGATGGAGCTGGAAGGGATCATGCTCAGCGAAATAAGCCAGAAAGAAAAAGAAAAATACTGGATGGTCTCATTCATAACAGGAATTTAGAAAATCTAAATAAAGGACCAGGAAAAAGACTAATTATAATAAAGTAAAAATCAAAGTCAAAAAGCAACTATAAACCAGACACATTGTGGGGGCGTGGGGAGAGGTAAGAAGGGTTACAGTCAAAATAAGGGGGGGTGGGAATATGGGGAATATAACCAAGATGAAAATGCATACATTGTGCAAAAATGAAAAATGATGTAAAAATATATAAAATAAAATAAAATAAAATAAATATAATAACAACCATCTGAGGATGATTTTCCACTGAGGTTCAGAGTTATACTTTATTAAAATTTCTTACCTGTCAGGAATACCTAGCCTCTTGACACTTCTATACACAGAAAGAGTATTTGCAACATGTCGATAGTTAAACCAGAATCGGGAGGTACACACCTACAGTATTAAAACAAATATGTTATTTTCATGAATCAAAATAAGCCATGGAGTTACAGAATTATTTCTCTTTAAGTGATGCAGAGATACTTAAAAAAAAAAAAAGACTATAGCATAATTCAGGCTAATGACTTGTCAATAAACCAATCTCTCTAAGAGGTCTTTCATAACTAGTATTAAATAGAAAAGACCAAGCAGCTGAAGAGAAACCAAATCTTGGGGGGATGTAATCAAATGCTGAACCAACTTAGTTACTCTCAATTATTGTGATTTTGTAATGTTCCTATGTCTAAAAGACTAAATCCTTTAAAATCAAAAACAGTGCCTATATTCTCTTCAGAGAAGAGAAAATTAGTTACCTTGGGTTATGTAACAGTCCTCTTACTCTGGATTGCTCCCTAATTTAGTTGTGAAAAATGTAAGATAGAGACTAAAACATAACATGCAAACAGTTTTATAAGCACACAAGAGAATACATTATAAAAAAAAAAAAGCTGTTGAATGGAACAGAAAACTAAAAACAATTCAAGCAAGTTTTGCACTTAAAGAAATTGATTCCTAAAGGTACCAGAAAAATCTAACATGGGGCTCAAAAAGCAGCCCTCTTGAGAATCCTTTCTAAAGGAAGTGAAAGAGAAGTCTGATTTGGGCTGTAGTCTACCCACCAAGGCCCTATGACCTCCTACTACAGGTCTGTGCTGATAGTAGATAAAATCAATCTTGAGAATAGGATAAATGTTCTTTTGCATCATATAGAAAAGAACTATAATGTAATTTTTAAAATTTAAAATGTATTTTCAACTTAGAATACTATAAGAAAAAAACTAAATGTTTGACTACATAAAAACGTAAAACTCAGGTCAAAAATGCCCTAAAATTCTAACAAAAATGAACACTTGAAGCATAAAGTTGTATAAAAGAAAAGGATGAACAACTCAATTTTGGAAAAAATGGGCAAAGAATGAGCACACATTTCATAACATAGCTTTACAAGTGGACAATAAAACTCTTGGAGATGCTCAACGTCTGCACACTTTAAAAAATACAAATAGAATTCTAAGTATTCACAAGGCTGGTAATTCACAATATTGACAGGGGTGTGGGGAAATGAGTGCACACATCCTACCCATAAGCTATACAAGGGTAATTTGTAACATATATCAATTTTTGAAAATTTACTTAATCTTTCAATAGCTCATTTTAATATACAAAGAAATATATATTCAATTATTTTCATTATAGTGTTGCCTATATTGGTAAAAATCAAAACCTAAAGGCCAGAAACAAAATCACTACCCAAAGAATTTACAGATCCCCAAATGTGAGCATAAATAGTACCTGAATTAGTCATAATAACAGCCAGTATATTCCATGTACTTCACCATACCCAAAAGGTTTTTCTCATTTGTTACAGTATTTAATGAGATTTAACCTAAGAAACTGCCTCATTTTCACCAGCAAGTTACTAGGCAAAAAAATCAGAGTAGGAAAAGAGACAAGACCAGGAGATACCAATTAAATAGATAACCCATGATTTTTACTGAGTAGAATATCAAAAAACAAAACAAAACAAAAAGTAAGTTGCAAAAGAGCATGTGGCATGACTCCCCTTTTTAAAAAGGGGGTGGGGGTGGTTAGACACAAATGTACAAGTGTGAGCATATGCACTGGAAATTTCTAGATATGCAACTAACTGCCAACAGTATTACCATAAAGTGTGGGTCAAAAAATACAACAGCTTTTCAGTTTACACCCTTTCTCACCGTACTTTATAACCATCAGTATGGATTACCTTTATAACCTTTTCTATTACACACTGGCAAAAATGTTTTATTCAAAGCAGATGTGGAGACCAAAATGGAATCCAACTTTCCTTCTATCTCCCTCTGGTGGAAAAAGTTTACTTAAGTCATATTACAAAAGCAAAAGGGCATTTCATTGCTCACATAGTCGAGTCTTAAACCAAATTAATTAGAACTGCCATGAGACCTCATTTTCTTCACTCTGAAAGAAATTCAACATGCCCCTGGTCAAATTTCATGATTTTCCATTTAAGAAAATATAGGTTAAGTTTCACTATACTGTCTGAGTGAATGTGAAAATATTGGGCAAAATATAAAAACTACAGTTGTGATGAAATGCTTAGTAATAATTCCTTTTCACCCTCTATTTCTCATCTGAGACCCAGTTTACTGAGATTGGGTGGTTAAAAGTTTCCCAGAATAGATAAGGTTTTAATGCCTGTGCAGTACAAGCTAATAAGCTCTTAATTCTAAGGGCTGAGCCCCTGGCAATTAGCACAATAGTATGCACAATTTCCACTTTTAAGAATTCCGATACAGAGACTAATCATGGAAGAACATTTATTTTCTTCTAGAGCAAGTATCTTTTCAAATTGGTGGATAATTTTCTTCAACTTATAAGTGGTCATTGAAAACCTGTGAGCTTATCTTGATCATTTTGTGTTCATTTTCATCATAAAAATCTCATGTTCTTTGACAACACAAAAATGAGGCATGAGTCCGTGTCCACACACTGCTCTATTTAATCACAATACAACTACATTTAACACAAATATATATATAGCAATGATATTCACTCTGCAGTTACTTTTAGCAACCTGTAGATAAATACATGCTTTTATGAAATTATTCTCAAAATTTCTAAGGCCATTCAATCTCCCTTTTTCTTGGTAAAGTTAATTATAGTCTTATATGTTTGTACAGCACTTTTAGTTGAATTCCTCTACCTTCCTCCTTTATATTCCCACTGAATTCTCATAAATTCCCCAGTTTTCATCCTTTTCCAACATGAGTTACTGGCTTTGAAATGCTATATATTCTCTTTCTTTGTCCAAAATATCAGCTTCCTTTTCTGCCTCTTTATTTTCTAATTCTTTCTTCTGGCTGACCCTCCCAATTGACACTTTTTTTTGTTAAGTCAAATTTAATGTATCTTCTAATCATGTAAATGTCATTAAATGAAACCCCAGTTGTAAATGACTGCACACTTTCCCAAGCACCCAAAAAAAAAAAAATTACATTGGGGAATTAAAAATAGAAATCAATGAATCCAAATAAATTATAGATAATAATTCCCATAATGAAGAAAAGAAGGCAGAAGAAAAAAGAAAGCCAATGAGAAAACTTCACTAAGAATCAAAACAGTGCAAATTAAACAAAAAGAAGCAGTCAAAAAAGGATAATATACAGTTGACCTGGGTTTAAAAATAGCAATAAAGCCTTTCTAGAGGGAGATTATGCTTCACAACTTCATAATTTTATGCTTAGAAATTTACCCTAATGAGAAAACCAATCAAATTCACAAAAATACATACAAGGATATCCATTACAGTCCTGTTTAAAATAATGAAAAATTTAGAATCTAAAGCTTAGGTAAACTCATTAAATAGAAAACATTACAATCTGACAAAAGATTACATATCTCTATATCTACTGACAAGGAAAGATTCCCAAGATATGCTTTGGGGGGTGCAAAATAGCAGGAAGAATATCATCCCAGTTATATGAGTTCATATTTCTTATGTTTATACATAAAGAAAGACAAGGTAAGAACATTTCACCAAAAATGTTGATTCTGGCATGTGGGACTAGTGGATAATTTCCTGTCATCTTTTTAATTGAGGTGAAATTCATATAAAATAAACCCGTTTTCTTTTAACTTTTCTATGTAATTTGAATTCCCTACAATGACCTCTTCTTTTATACTGAAAACCAATTTTTTTAATAAAATAAAAAGGCCTGAGTATGTTACTGAAAAGAAGCATAATTATTAGTTTCCATCATTAAAATAATCCTATATTTTATAAAATGCTTCCTTGAACAGCATCCCTAATATGGTCTGACTTTATTTACACATCACCACTTGACAAATATGCCAAAAGCAAAGACTATTTGTTGATACAATCAATTTAAAATATATGCAAATCAAAATAATTTGTAATAAGAAAATAAATTTTATTTTCAAAAATTTGATTCACACAAAATTACTCAGGCACATATCTAAAGTTACCAGCAAGGTATATCTTTATAAAATATACTTACCAAAACAGCCCAGTTGTTTGTATGACCACTTCTAAAGAACTGTTCCGCTTGATCCTATCAGTCAAATAATAGCAAAACTGATTAGAAGAAAAAGTCAAATTTCCCAGACTCAAAATTGATGGTCAGTTAAGATTTATAGTTTTTATAACTGTAATAACAGTAATTCATCATTAAGCAAGTTCATAGAAGATTCTAGTATTTGACTTTACGAAGAATAAAATTGTTTTTTGTTATTGTTGGGGAGGCATAAGCGGGGTAAAGTCCATTTAATTGTAAATATTTATCCCAAACACTGCCAGCTTTTTCTAATATGCTTCTAGTTTTCCAGTCTCCAAATCGTAAATTGCTAATTTCATGTCTTTGCTCTACACAAAGTAACAATTAGTATACTTTCTGATGAGATTTCTCTCAATGTTCATTCTTAATCTGTTGTAGGTGCTTCCAATTGCTTTATTTTAATTCACCAAAATATTTGATTTGGTATATTCTCTAGTATACTGTCATGTAACATTTTCACTAATCTGTGAAATTGCATTTGCCACCATATAATATTAAAAACCTCAGCATCCAAAACCATCCAAACACCTATTTTTATCATATATTAAAATAATAATGGCTATCAACCATAATGACTTACAACTGCTCCCAAACAGTATTAATGAGTAGGACAATCAGACTGCCTGGATTCAAATTTTAGCCCTATTAACTTACTAGCAATATAATATTAGGAAAGTTGGTTAATTTCTCTGTCCATCCCCCCATCTATAAAATGGTATTATTACCTGACTCACAGACTATAGGGATCATGACTAAAACATTTGCCTAACAAATGTTAGAATAAAATTTAAAAATCTACTCAAATGTATGTTATATATTTACATACATTTTTCTTAACTTTTCCCAATAGTCTGCCTAGCTGCTAAAGAAAACAATGTACCACAGTGAGTAAAAACCTGATTTAGGAATTTGAAGATCTGGATTTTAGCCCAGGTCCTCTCTCTCATCTGGCTGTGAAACCGGGATAAGTTATTTAGCTCATTATACTTGAGTTTTCTTATGGAGAAAGAATGTTATGAGGTGACCCAAACTCTAATGTCTCTTTCAGTCCCAAAATTCTTTTTTTTCAAAGATTTATTTATTTATGCATACAAGAACTGGGGTACAGGCCAGAGGTGGAGGGGTGAGAGGATTCACCAAAGACAGAGTGGGAAACAGAACAGGCAGATCGACTGAAATACACTGCTGAGGGGAGCAGCAGGCGAGTCAGGAGAGATCTACTGCACCATGTGGGTAACTCCCTGGCTGGGAGTTGAACTCACGCTGCAGTGGCTGCGGATAGCTTCATAGGTCGTGTCTTAACCCCTTGCGCCACCAGGGAGGCCCCTCAGTTGCAAAATTCTTAATCAATAATACTTTAGAGAAAAATTCAAGATGTGATTGCTTATACAAGTACATATAGCTAATAGAACACCTATAATCATCACGAAAAGCATGCTGTTTCCTCTTAAGGATCCCAGAGTTTAATAAGGAAACATTCAAACACATTACACTACCATATAATGCATTCATTTCTCACATTCATTGGATACCGTGTGTCAGTGTCACTGTCATGGTAGCTCAGAAAACAATGATGGCCCAAAAACCATGCCTTCACAAAGGTCACTATCCAATTTCAATGACACACATTAGTAAATAAGGGCAAACTATAAATTCTATAAAGGTAAAATACACAGTGTCATGAAACAGTATAATAGGAGGATCTGGCCTGATGAGGGGTCAGGGAAGGTTCCCTAGAGAAGCAACAATTATGTTAGGAACCAAAAGATGAAGAGAAGAGAATAGAATTCCTGACAGAGGGAACATGGGTCCTTATGGAAGAAAGGAGCTTAAAGGTTTTGTGAAATAGAAAGGTTAGCATAGGGCCTCCCCTGGTGGCGGCTGCGCAGGCGGCTGAGCACCACGCTGTGAAGCTGTCTGCAGCCTCTGCCAGTTAGATCCCAGCCAGCCGGCCAGGGTCCCACTTGGCGCCGCAGACCTCTCCTGCCTTGCCTGCTGCTCCCCTCAGCATTGTATTTCGTCAGTCTGCCTGTTCTGTTCCCCGCTCTGTCTCTGGTGTATCCTATCACCTTTCCCCACATCTGGCCTGTACCCTGGTTCTTGTATAAAATAAATAAATAAATAAATCTTAAAAAAAAAAAAGTTAGCATAACTGGGGGGAGAGAGAGAATGACTACGTAGATAGGGGCTAAAATATGCAGTGCCTTGTTTGTGGGCCACAATGAAGATTTTGTTGTTTTTTATCTTTAAAGCAGCATTAAGGTGTATATGAGTGACATATTTATGTGATCAGATTTATGTTTTTGAAAGTTCCTCTGGCTGCAATTTGGAGAATGGCCTGGAAGGAAGAATGGTTTGAGGGGGTTGGGGGTGGGGAGGGGAGGGATTGGGGTCAAAATAAGGGGGTTGCAATTGTATGGGGAATATAAAAATAAAAAAAAAATTAAAAATTAAAAAAAAGAATGGCTTGAGACAAACCAGTTAAGGAAGTATTTAGTATTTACCCCCTAAGTGAAAGAAGATGGAATAGGTAGTACAAAGGACACAAAGGTTAGAACAGATAAGTGCTATACTCGCTAAATGTACAAATTAACAACAGTAAAGCAAAGGTAAAGATAGGTAAAGGATCCACAGAGGTCATGCATTTATTATACCTTAATAAACAGAGGAAACAGGAGGTACAAAATATTAAAATGTGAAATAGCACAGCAACTGTGTAACTACAAAAAAGAGTAATGGTATCCAAAATGAAGTATACAAGATAACCCATTAAAATAATGGAGAACAGGCCTCCAGGGGGGGTGCAAGGGGTTAAGATGCAACCTACAAAGCTGTCCACAACCACTGAAGCACGAGTTCAATCCCTGGCCAGGCAGCTACCAACATGGCACAGCAAACCTCTCCTGACTCGCCTGCTGCTTCCCCTCAGCAGTATATTTCAGTACATCTGCCTGTTCTCTTTCCTACTCAGTTTCTAGTGAATCCTCTCACTCCCCACACCTCTGGCCTGTACCCCAGCTCTTGTATGCATAAATAAATAAATCTTTAAAAACAAATAAAATAATGGAGGGAAATGGCAGATCATGTACTCATTTATTTTATCTAAAAATATACTTTATATGTGATATGCACATCAAAGACATCTTTACAGACACATCACCCAAAGCAATGATAGTGAAGGCAAAGATAAACAGCTGGGACTACATGAAATTAAAGAGCTTCTGCACAGCAAAAGAGACAATAACAAAAACAAAGAGAAACCCCACCGACTGGCAGAACATTTTTGCACACACACTAATGATAAAGGACTGATCACAAAAATCTGCAAAGAGCTGATGAGACTCAGCAACAACAGAGAAAATAATCCTGTCAAAAATGGGCAGAAGAGCTAAAAAGAAACTTCTCTGAAGAGGAAATGCAAATGGCCAACAGGCATATGAAAAAATGTTCAACATCACTTGTCATCAGGGAAATGCAAATCAAAACTACCATGAGATACCATCTTACACCAGTGAGAATGGCACATATTAAAAACACTAGCAACAACAAATGTTGGTGAGGATGTGGAGAAAAAGGAACTCTCCTGCACTGTTGGTGGGAGTGCAAACTGGTCCAACCACTATGGAGAGCTGTGTGGAGATTTCTGGACCTGCTAAACATAGAGCTTCCATATGATCCAGCAATTCCACTCCTAGGTATTTACCCAAAGGACACAGAAACATCAATTCCAAAGAGCACCTGCACCCCTATGTTTATAGCAGCACTGTTTACAATAGCTACGCTTTGGAAACAACCCAAATACCCAAAAATAGATGACTGGATCAAGAAGATGTGGTACATATACACCATGGAATATTACTCAGCAATCAAAAAAGATAAACACATGCAATTTGCAGCAACATGGATGGCGCTGGAAAGGATCATGCTCAGCGAAATAAGCCAGAAAGAAAAAGAAAAATACCGGATGGTCTCACTCATAGCAGGAATCTAGAAAACTTAAATAAGGGACTAGGAAAATGAATAACTCTAAGAAAGTGAAAATCAAAATCAACAAAAAACTATGAACCAGAGACACTCTATGGGGAGTTGGGGTGGGGAGGAGAGGGATTGGGGTCAAAATAAGGGGGTTGCAATTGTATGGGGAATATAAAAATAAAATTTATTTTAAAAAAAAAAAATATACTTTAGTGAATATATAAAACAGCATCAATGAATGAATATATATACACACATATACATTCATTCACATACATAGCACCCGTGAGCAATCTCTATTTTTTTTAAACTGGTAGGGAAAGTGTACTTAAAAAGTTTTGAGGTAGGCACAAGATAAAACTTTGGACACAGACTTGCAAATGTCTGCTGACTAGCCCGGCCCCTGAAGCCTGAGAATGATCTCGAGAACTCGACTATTGATATTTCACCCGCCGCCTGCTCAAATTTCACTTGCTAGGGACTGCGCACACAGATCCTCCCCTGACTCCGATAATTTGGTTCTTTTATTTTTTTAAAGGCTGACACAGACCATGCCGTCCCAATGACAACCTCCCTAGTGCAGTCGGCGGCTGATGTCTCCACGACACTCCTCCGTGCTGTGTATCGGACACCGGGGCGCTCTCAGCCACGCCACCGCTGTCCCCCTGGGCCCACCGCTCAGAGGAGCCTGACTCCTACCTCGATCTGACTAGCGGCCAAGCTGCCCAAGCACAAGAGCAATAGCCCTGCCCTCGCGGTCAGAGGCCGGCTGGGGAAGTAGGCGGCGGCCATGTTTGCCGGCTTCAAGTCGCGCACACCTGCGGGGGGCGGAGCAAGTGCCGTAAAGCAGCGCGACGGCGTTTTTACGTTGTTTTCGTTTGCGACATCGGCCCCACCTCCTGGAGGCCCGCCCCTCGGTCGCTTAATTTAGCCTCTTAGCCGTCAGCGCCTGCGCAGAACTGGTGTCTCCCGGAATTGCTGGGGAGAGCTAGGCGGAGCTCTGTAGTCTTAGCGGCATCTGAGTACGTTTTCTTTTTTTTTGTATTTTAAAATAGATGTGAAGTTTAAGCATTTTATTTGAAAGGTGAGGGAGGAAACCTGTGATCCCAACTATTTCTTTTATTTATTATTTTGCCTAGTGCTGCCTATTATTTGAATATAAAAGCATTGAGGGTGGGGAGACACATACTGAAATGTGATCTCACAAAACGTAATTAAATCAACTTCAAATGGAAAGATGGGTGGATCCTGCAGCCCAAACAGGCGTGAAGGCTATCGCTTTATTCAAAGTATGGACATGGAGAAATTAGCTAAATTTTTTATTCTTCTGCAATTATGCTAAAGTTTTTCTCGGTGAGGATTTAATAAGAGCATCAGTATTCATTCCATTTTGCTAATTATATACATTCAATTTTAAATTGTTTTTCATCTAGCATGACATGTTATTTCAAGTGCAACGTGTTCAAAGTCCTCTGTGTCAGCCCCTAGATTTCCTTTTTTTCATCTTGCACAGGAACCAGCAAAGTTGCCCTGTCGTCCTGGGTCCTTGAGTGAAAAGTCAACCATGGTAAACGAGTCGAAGGAGAAAAAAATATAACTTCTAGTGCTTTAAGGTTTAAAACAGTTATCTTGATTGATGCATGTTATATTCCAGACACTATACAAAGCATATTATGCATATTATATAATTAAATGTTTACAATTGTGTAAGGTATGTATTTTTCCCCTTTATTACATAAACATGAAGCATGTCATACAGCATTCAGATTATCAATTGCTTGAGACCTAGTAACTTAAAGCAATGCGTTATCTCTAAAACTTTTTGTATCTCCTCTCACAGATGACTTGGTATCCCCTGGCATGTTCTTGAGTTATAGGGCAAGTGGATATCTTGTAGGGTCAGAATAAGCAGTCAGAATAAGCCTCTGAGGAGGAAGGGAGGCCCCAGAGATAGGGGCAGCAAATTCCTAAGGGGACTAATGAGACTTCCCTGGACTGAGGGCAGTGAGAACGAATAGGATATTCCCAGGCAAGGATGATAAAGAAAAAAGGGCTCTTTAAGATAAGGGCTGGGTTGTTAGAAGTGCAGTGGCAGTAAGACAGGAGCCACTGAGAACTAACCAATTACAAAGAGACTGATGGGGCTTTAGAATAATTAGAGAAAAAGATATACATTCCCTGAGGCACTGCCGCTTCCTTGCCCCTCCCTGGCCTGGTTCCTGGAGAACCATTTTGTTTCTGTTCTTTCTCCTTAATAAACTTTTCCTTGTATCTATTTCTCTAAGCAAATTTGCCTTTTTTTGCTTGCTTGCCTGAGAGTGAAGTTCCTGCTACAGCTTTGGCCTAGTGACTAAGACCTAGCACTGCCCCCGCAGCCTGGGGTCAATTCCTGGCTGGGTAACTAGACCTGAAAATCTGAAATTTCGCTAACATTCTCAACTGGGATCTCACATGTTATTACAATTAGATGTTCACTGTGACTGCAGTTATTGAGGGTGACTTAGCTGGATATCCAAGATGTCTTCTTCATATGACTTGAAATTCATGCTAATTTGCCCCTGGGAGAACAGCAGTGCTTGTCAACTGAAAATTATACCTGCAGTTTTGCAACAGGGTGGTCCTCAGGGAAAGGGGAGGTTCCAGTTTTCCTACCCCACCCAAGGGAGGGTAGAGTTTAGCAAGAATACGAAGTTGGAGAGGAGACTGGAGAAGGAAGGCAGCTGAATGGAGAAACATAAGGAGACCTGGAGGAGGCACTTGGAGCAGAGAGACAGGTAGAAACTGTGCTTGCTTCTTGGCCTTGGACTTGTTGAAACAAATGTGGGTGAGAGACCTATAGTGAGGTTAACAATGGCAGTGTTTATCTTGATTTTGCTCCTTTTGTCCTAGACCTGGTAGGCCGCTTTTTCCCATTTTCTATGGGTACCAGAAGGTATCTTAGACTTGTGGCAGGCTTTCGGGCCTCAAGGCCTAATTTGGGCCAACCCTGTTTGGCTGGACATTTACCCACGAGGGAATGAGTATCTTAGGGTGCTTGATTTGGAAACTATATTCCTTGTCTTGTCTTTGTTGTACACTGATGGTATTATACTTCCTTTCCATTAAAGGTCTTACATGCTAGATAGAATCTGTATTGCCTTGATGCAGCAGATGGCAGAACCTATTTAAGGCAGGCAGTTTTGGGAGTTCTGGGGTGTCCCTCACCCCTAACCTGTAAGAGTTTCTCTAGGTGAGTTGGGCTGAAGCATGGCAGCTGGGTTGTTTGAGAGAGCATTCCAAGAAACATGGACAAACCCTCTAAGTGTTAGGGTTATAACTTAGCCTTAAAAATGCAAGAATTACTTATGCCACATTCTAGTAGTAAAACAAATTAAAGTCATCTCAAGTTAAGGATAGGAAAATTTAGACATAATTCTCAGTATAGCAAATCTCTACAGGAAGGAAGTAATGCATAATGGCCATCTTTTGAATCTAAAATATTATTTGCAATTTACGAGCTAAAATCCTATTCCTTGATGATCTTAAAATATGTAAGGATTGAAAATACTCCATTTAATTTATGAAACGAATCTACTCATGAGATTGAAGGTGTATGTGTTTGATAGACTTAGTATAAATTGAGACAAGCTCTATTACGTGTGAAAGTAAACCAGTCTAAAACCACAGAGAACTAACATAATGAGTTTACTTTTTGTTCACACTGCAAGTACAAAATTAGAGTGTGCTTATTGTGGTTGCTCAGGCATTCAGACTGATGGAGTTTCATCTCATGAGATTCTACCTCTAGGCATATTGCCAGCATTAGTGTAGCAGAAGGGAGCACAGTACATTGCATCCTGGAACCTAAAGCTTCTTCCTATGATACACATCATTTTTCTTTTCTTTTGTTTTTTTTTTCTTATGGGTCTCAAGTGGGTGCCATTTTGGGGGTGCAATCGTAGCTTTCCTGGCACTCAGGGTCACTTTAGAAACAGGAAATGGAATACCTTCACAAGGCTTCCCTGCTCATAAGGCATTAATAGGAAACTTTAAGATGACCTCTAGACCCTCTTCCCTTTTGAATTAAGTTGACACACAAATTTGTTAAGATTTACAGGCATGCATCTCTATACACACATCATTTTTCTTACATCCCACTGACCAAAGAAGTCATATAGCTATGCCTATAGTCCTGCTATGTATTTCTTGAATATTTTGGAATGGTCCTGTAACAGGGTGGTCCCAGGAAAGGGGGAGGTTCCCTGCCCCACCCAAGGGAGGGTGGAGCTGAGCAGGAGGAGGAGAAGGAGAAGAAGAGACTGAGGAAGGAAGGAAGCAAGATGGAGCCAGGAGACCTGGAGGAGGCGCATGGAGCCTAGAGACATGTGAAGAAACTGCGCTTGTCTTTTGGTCGTGGACTGGGTGACACAGATGTGGGTGAGACCCGTGGGGAGGTGACAATGGCAGCTTTTATCTGGATGTTGATTTTGCTCTTTTCCTTCCGGGCTTGTCCGGTTGTTTGTGACCCTTTTCTGTGGGTCCCCACTGGAAGATGTTTTAGACTTGTGGCAGGCTTTGGGGCCTTGCTCTGGGCCGACCCCATATGGATGGAGTTTTACCCACGAGGGGATGGGTAACTTTGGGTGCTTCATTTAGAAACTAGACTCTTTGCCTCACCTGTATTGTTTCCTAGTTTTTATTAAAGATCCTTCCCATTAAAGTGTCATATGTTTTGTGTTGATGCGGCGGATGGCAGAACCCATTTAGAATAGGCAGGTTTGCGGGGTTTGGGCTGCCCCTCTCCCTGTCCTATAACAGTCCTAATAACTGCATGCCATGTCATCTGAATTCCTATATATTGGGACCAGGTTGAATTTAGAGAAAACACAGAAATCAGAAATTATCATTTTCTTCTGAGTGTTATAATTCATTCAATACTCACTTGTTTTCAAAGGCAATAACCTTTGCTGTATATATAGTACACCAAATAATAATATTCATATTTGATATGTAACTTTACAGTATATATGAGGCTTTCACATATCTATGTTTTCTGATTTTTTTTATTCAATTTAGATAGAGGAGAAGTTATTTGTTCTGGTTTGTCAGTCAAAATTAAAATAAAATAATTGGTTCCCAAAAAATATCATTGTGCTAGTTATTCACTCAACAGATATTCATTAAGCACTAATTATGTACCATGCATTGTGCTGTTCACAAGCAACACACAAGAAAGCAGAAACTGAGCAAGTCCCAGTCCCCACAGAGCTACACTCCAGGGGAGACAGACATTAATAGTAGAAGCATTTAAACAAATATGTAAGTCCAACAAGAGAGTTCCAAACTTGTAGGGAAAAAAAAAACAGGATAGATTTCCCTGAGGAAATGGTCTGAGTTGATATTAATGAGACAAAGCTGGAGGGAAGGAAAGAAATTTTAAGGTAGAGGAAACAGTTTTTGCTCTTTCAGAACAGTGGTAAAAAATGAGTTGGCTTATTAGAGGAACTTTCTGAATGACCTTGAGCTTGTAGTTCAAGGAATAAGAGAGAGTGCTGCAAGATAAAACTATTGCTGTGTCAGTGCATCTCCCTTCAGAGCCTTACAGATAAGGTCATGGAGAGCCTCAGCATAGTAAAGGTCACTCTGCTTCCAATGAGACAAATAACTGCAGGTCAAGCATTTGGGAGGCTGTTGCAACAGACATGGCAATGGTAGGCTGGTCCAGAGTGGTAAAAGTAGGAGGACAAAAATTGATTATAACAGGGAAGTAGAAGAAAAGACAATTTCAAGAATGACTTTTGGGTATCTAACTTACACAGCTGAGTGCATGTTAGTGTCA